GAGCTCAAAAGGGCCAAAGGATTGAACAATCCCAAAATCAAGGGACTGAGATCAAAGGGTCCAAGACATCCCACAATCCCAAAGACACTGAGATTGACGGGGTCATGGAGCTGATCTGAAAAAGGGTGAGGGACTGAAGAAATCCCAAAAACAAGGGATTGAGTTTGAAAGGGGTAAGGGATTGACTCATCAACCCCCAACATACATGGGACTGCACTCCAAAGGGGTAAGAGATTCAGTCATCCCCAAAAGCAAGGATTGAGGCAAAAATGGGTAAGGGAAGGAAAAATCCCAAAAGCAAGGGATGAGTTTAAAGAAATTGAGAGACTGAGCTCAAAGACACAGAACAATTCCACAAACAAGGGATTGAGATTGAAGGGGCCAAGGGATCCCTCAATCCCAAAGACAAGGAAGGCATTGAAACTGAAGGTGCAAAAGAATTGAGCTCAAAAGGGGTAAGGGATTGAAGAATCCCAAATCCATGAGATTGAGATTGGATGGATTGAGACTGAAAGGATTCCCCAATCCCAAAGAGGAAGCCTTCAGATTGAAGGGGCCATGAAACTGAGCTCAAAAGGGGCCAAGGAATTGAGCAACCCCAGAAAGAAAGCATTGATCTGAAAAGAGGAAAGAATTGAGGAATCCCAAAGAAAAGGATTGAGTAAAAAAGGGGCCATTGGATTGAGATCAAAAGGGACCAAGGGATCCCACAGTCCCAAAGAAAATGCAGTGAAACTGAGGGAGCCAGGGAACTGAGGTCACAAGAGGTAAGGGACTGAGCAATCCCAAAGCCAAGGGAATGACTTCCAAAGGGGCCAAGAGATTTAACTGAAGATAGGTAAGGGACAGAGCAATACCAAAACCAAGAGACTGAAATTGAATTGTCCGAGGGATTAAGCAACACCAAAACAAGGGACTGATCCTGAAGAACCCAAGGAATTGAGATCAAAATGAGGCAAGAGACTGAGCAATCCCAAAACCAAGGAATTTACCTCAAAGGGAGTGAACATAAAGGGATCCTGGCACCAGCAACACCAAACCCAGTGGAAACCTGAGGAAATCAACATTCCAGATTTCCCTGCTCTTACATCTTAGTGCATTGGGCTGGTCTCTCCTCCACCAATTTTTTCCTTAATCCTCCAGTATGATCCCAACACATTCAAGGTGTGTTGAAGACAGAAGACAGGAAAGTGGGTCAAGATGGACAAACAAGAAGCTTGGGATGTTTCCATGGACATGGGTAAAATGCAAAGCCCAGCACACCAGAGCAAATCCTCCCTAATTCGTCTTTAAATTAAAAGCAGAAGACTGGTGGTGGAAACATTCCAGTCCTTAATGCTTCCTTTCTGTCTGTAAAAAGGAGTGGCTCAGAGGAAGGAGCATCATTCCCACAAGCACTGGGCCAACGGCAGCGCTGAGCATTTCATCACCCTTGAAAAAGTGGGAAGCGCATTTCCGTGACACTCAGCACTTCTAAAATTAGTTGGTAAGCAGGGAGGCCAGAGAGCACTTTCTTCCAGCACCATGGAGATCTCTGAGTGTTGAGTTCTTCCACCGCAGCCCAAATCATTTTCAGGAGCATTTGTGACTTGTCCCCAGACTGAAATAGTGGAGGAAGGAGTCCAGAGATACTCCAAGGGCTGGAGCCCCTCTGCTCTGGAGCTAGGTTGGGAGAGTTGGGAATGTTGAGCTTGGAGCAGAGAAGGTACTGGGGAGAACTCAGAGCCCCTTCCAGTGCCTAAAGGGGCTCCAGGAGAGCTGTAGAGAGAGTTTGAACATGGGATGAGGGATAGGACACAGGGAATGGCTTCCTACTGCCAGAGGGCAGGGATAGATGGGATATTGGGAAGGAAATCTTGCCTGTGAGGGTAGGGAGGCCCTGGCACAGGTTTCCCAGAGAAGCTGTGGCTGCCCCTGGATCTCTGAAGTGTCCAAGGCCACGTTGGATGGGGCTTAGATCAACCAGGGATAGTGGAAGGTGTCCCTGCTCATAGCAGGGGGTTGGAATGAGATTGTCTTTAAGCTCCTTTCTGACCCAAACCATTCCATGATTCCGTGACCTTCCATCTCCCCAGATGAACACCTTTGCAGCAGAGAGGGGAAACTGAGGCAGGAGGAGACGTTACACAGCAGGATGGAGACAGGAAGTGCATCTGGATGCAGGGAAAGTCCCTCCCAGTTCTGGAAGGCTGAACTTAACCATGTTTTAGTAAATAATTTGTTTCTCTGGGATCAGAGCCACCGTCACAATGTGTGGGAGATGCCTCAGCTCCAGAGGACTTTAAACTCCTCTTAAACCTCCACCTTTGGGAGCTCAGAAATCCTGAGATTCTGGAATCTGTGGTCATGGAGACAATTCAAAAACACCAATAAATAAAAATCACATTGCTCAAGGGGCCAGCTGTCACCTCTGGAGTCCCCAAAGCCACCAGCCTTTCTCCAACCAAGAGCTAAAATCTCAGAATGAGGAAATCATGCAGGTGAGGATTTGCCCATGGAAAAACAGCCTGGACACTGCTGGAGCCAGCTCCAGCTCACAGAGTGCAATTCCTCTCTCGTCAGCGGTGGCGGCTCGTGCTGAGATTGGGGTCAAGGCTGGTTTCCGGACAATGTCAAACCTTAATTTGCTTTCTGCTGCTTTCAATTTTGTGTTTCCCCTTCTGTATTTCTTTGTGAAGCTCTACATTGCCCAGGACCTTTTGCTTCTCTCCCTGATTTCATGGAAATTCCTCGAGTCTAGAAAACACCTTAGCAGCTGGAGACAGAAATGAAGGAAAGGTTCCTTGTGAGTGGAGAAACCAAATTATTCCGCTTGTTTCATTAACTGCCATGTAGCAAATGGTTTCCACACCATCTCACTGCCTATCTTCTAAGACTTCTGCAAAGTGAGAAAATACATGGGTGCCAAAATACGTTATCCCAAAGGGAAAGAGCCTTTCCATGTATGATTCTGCATCTTTGTCTTGAACAGGGATGAGTAGAGAATGTTTAAGCTCTGGGTTTTCTTCTCCATTTGCCTGAGCAATGAATTATGCCATGTCCAAGGTCCCTATCCAGCTGGGAAGGCAAAAAAAAAGTCTTTTGATTTTTTGTATTTTATTTGCAGTTTTCCAGAGACGAGTGTGGAAGGCGCAGAAATCCTTTGGCAGCAGAGCCACACGTGGGATGAGAGCAAAGTTCTCAGCAGCTGCACTGGCTGTGGTGATGCTGTGATTGCTCCAGTGGGGTTATTTATGTTCAAAACACCTCCAAAAATTTTTCCTGGGATTGTAGTGACACTTTCCTTGTCCCCAAGCTGTGTGCCCTCCTCGTCTCTCCAGGATTAACAAAGTCAATTTCAGAAAAGCCATGGAAAACTGCTCTTCCCATTGCTCCTGTTAGCCCCAGGATTGATCCCAATACAGCCCAGGGATGCAGGAAGTGCATCCCAAGGACCAAATCTTAACTCTCCATCAGCATCCATCAATAAATCACTTGGGAATGCTGTGATGGTGTGGATGGATCAGCCCCAGCGCCCCACATCAGATTTTGTACTGTAGAGATAAAACCCCAACCCTATAAATCCAGGGAAAGAGCAGAATTATAACCCACTGGAAGTAAACTCCAAGCTATTAAACTGTCAGAAGCATTTCCCATCTCTCCACTATTCCAAACACACAGTGCCTGGCACTGAAAGGGAAAGGAAAAGCCGTTTTTTTCCATCTTTTAAATAAACTTTGTCAAGTGCTGAAAACACAGAGCGTTGAGCAAACGTTTGCAGCCGATGAGAACACACAAATCTTCCGCCCTGCCAGGCCCAGTTATCCCAAGGCAAGAGGAATTTGTAGAATCCATCCTTGGGAAGCAGGATGAATTATGGGGAGAGATGAAAGATGACATGAAAATACTGATCTACACCAGTTCCTCAGGTTTTGTGGTTACAAAGCCAATGTGCTATGTGGCAGGGGGAAAGAGGCGACAGCAAAATAAAGAGTATCTTCAAAATAATAATTAGATGGGATTGTATTTTATAGGGAATAACCCTGGAAGGGATCTTCTCTCCCTGAGGGGGACTAATTAAACCCAGTTCTCTGAATGAGACCTCACTAGAAGACATGGTTTCAGTGAGAAAGGAAAAATGGTGGGATCACATCCCCTCCATGTCCTGTCACCCCAAATCCCCCCACAAGCAATTCCAAAGCCTGAATCTGCAGAAATCCTCCCATCATACCTTTGGCTTAATCCCTCTTCCAGAAATTTGGCTCTAAGTTGGTGTTTCTCAAAAAAAAAGTTGTTGTTTCTTCCAAACCACCCCTCATTGCCTGATTTCCAGCATCATCCATAAAAATCCTCATCTCTGCTCCGTTCATCCTTCCAGACAGGAAAATCAAGCACAACGCCACCCATTTTGCCTTCCCCAGTTTAACTATCCCCAAAAATTCTCAATAAACCAGTTAGGGAGCAAAAATATTTGAGACAAAGAAGAAATTTTAAAAATACTTTAAAATACAGTTAAAATCTGCTCTTTTTTAAGAGCCACACTTGACGCGTCTAACACAGGAGAAGCTGAAACACAAATTAAATCAAAGCTGCAAGGTAAAGCTGGGAATTCATCAAAATCATTCCACGGTTATCTGCAGAATGATCTTCCCAAATTTTTAGGTGAATACTGAACGCAATTTGATGAGCATCTCAAGCACATTGAACCTTGTGGTGCTGTTTGAAGTTATCCAAGACTTCGCTCATTAAACCAAGTTTAACAGTACATCTCCACAAGCTTGAATTAAGTCTGACTTAAGAAAAACCTCAATTTTCCTAAACCTTCAATTTTTCCAATATTATTTCCCCTTCAGAGCTACTGTAAAGCAAGAACAGCACTTGGCACCATGGGATCTCCACCACCTTTACATCTGGAACTCTACGAGGCCAGAGGATGAGTGGCAACCCACAGGCTGGGAATAAACAGCTAAGAACTGAACTCGATGGGTTTTGGATGTGAATTGGGACAAATTTCTGCTCACCTGCTCTGATGGGAGTTTTGTTGCACAAGTCCCTGGCCCGGACAGGGCTGCTGGAAGTTTTGGAGAGTTTGTTGGCCGACACCCGGTACATGACCCCGCCAATGCAGCGGAAGCCTTTGTTCCTCCAGCGCTGTTGGACGAGTTGGGATTTGCCACCTTGGAGTGAGGTCCGGGTTTGGTTTAACAATGGGGATCTGCAGGAAAAATAAAGTCAAGGTCAGCCCAAATTTGGGAAAATGTCACAAGGAGGTGCTGCTTCATGAGCAAACCATGGGACTGGAGACTCATGGAATGGTTTGGGTTCAAAGGGATCTTCAAGATCATTCCAACCCCATTGCCACGGGCAGGGATAGTTCCCAATAGGATGGAGGAGATGTATGGAAGAACCAGGGATGTTCTTGCTGTTGACAGAGGAAAAGCTCTGATTCCTCATGACTGACACCAAAAAAATGACCTTCAGGGACTCTCCTTCAACTTCTCCCACCCCTGCTTGCACCTCCAGCCCCAGCAGAAACAAGGAAATGTGGATGCAACCCCATGAGAGAATCGGCAAGGTGGGACCTTCCCTGAGCTTAGCCAAGTTTTATGGAGCTCTACAAGCTTTGATATCCCTGGAAGTGCTTCAAAGCCAGATGGGATGGGACTCTGAGCAACCTGATCCAGTGGGTAGCATCCCTGTCCATGGCAGGGGTTTGGAACTGGATGGTCTTTAAGGTCCCTTCCAACCCAAAACATTCCATGAGTCTGTATTTTTGGTATCATTATTCCTATTATGAATCAGATACCACAACTTTGATATTTTTATTCTGTCCCCAAATCTGTCTCTTGGAAGGATTTTCCTCAATCCCTGCATGGGACAAGTCACCTAAGAGCATTTCCATACTCCACCTGTCACCTGGAGCTGACGCTGGACCTCAGCAGGGTCCAGTGGGCAGGGTTGGGGACCTGTCCCCACCTTCTCAACTCTCCCTAAATTCACAAACTCCTTATTGAGGCAGTGGGATGGAGATGGATCGGGAATTGCGATCCAGTTATTGTTGCCCATAACATTATTCTGAAGGACCAGTGAGTTCTGAAGTGACACCTGAGGGATAAATAACACAGAATCCCCAAATCTTTTAGGTCTGAAAATAACTCCAAGGCCATGAAGTCCAACCTGTGACCTGGAACCACTTTGTCAATTAGACCAGAGCACCGAGTGCCATGTCCAGGCATTCCTTGAACACCTCCAGGGATGGGGACTCCATTCCATCCCACTGGACAGCTCATCCCAATGTTTAACAACCCTTTCCATGAGGAAACTCTTTTTGATGCTCAACCTGAACCTCCCCTGGCACAGCTTGAGGCCAATTCCTATCATTCTGTCACAGGTTGACAGGGAAAGGAGGCCAATCCCCACCTTGCCACATGTCCCAAAGAGGCTCCTCTGCCACCCAAAATCTTGTCCACTCCATGACCTGACACCTCCTGCACCACCCCACCTCCCTCCTGACCCACAGCGCAGTCTCCCAGCTCATTCCTATCCATCCCCCACTATCCAAACAGAGCCACTGCAGCCAAATCAAATCTCCTCCAATATCAGTCGCCTTCCTCATTTAGCGCTAATCCAAACAGTAATTTGTTTATGCAAATTAGAGCTCTAATTTTGTATTAGCCCAAACTATGCTCATAATGCTATTAGCAGAACGTATATAAACCGCGCATTACCGGAGAATATCCGTAAATTAAGATCCCACTATCCTATCAGCGGAATGCAAACCCCGATGAGCATTTCCTTTAAATGAACATGTGCTCCAAAGAAAAAGAGAGCTGGAAAATGGAATAGTTACATTTCCTAATGCTGAGCGTGACAGCCTATTCATTCCAGAGGGCTGTTGCCACTGGCTACCGAGCTTGGAAAATTTGCTGTATTTTGTGGAAGGGGATGGGAATTCGATAAATTCCTCGTTTCAGTTCCCCCAAGGTTTCCTTCTCATGGAACTGCTCCAGAGAGCACCATCAAGTCTTAGTGACTCACAAAGAGTCGCATCGGTGGCATCTCTGGGTGAAGGTGGTGATGGCATGAGGGACCCTTGGGTCATTCATGGATCACCCAGCACATCCCATAAAAATCCAGCACGGCCAAAGTTGCAATCCAGCATTGGCTGCAGGACCTGAAGAAAGGTCTTGTGCCTGTATCAGGGGCAGTAAAAATAATATCAAATATCCAATGTCCAGGAGGGTGACAAAGACGATTCTCCCCCACTACTCTGCTTTTCTGAGATTCCATCTGGAGTTCTCTGTCCAGCTCTGGGTCCCAGCAGTAGAAGGATGTGGACCTGTTGGAGCAAGTCCAGAGGAGGCCACAGAGATGCTCCAAGGGCTGGAACGCCTCTGCTCCTAGAGACAGGCTAGGAGAGCTGGGACTGTTCAAGCTGGAGAAGGGAAGGATCCAGGGAGACCTTCCAATGCCTAAAGGGACTCCAGGAAAGCTGGAGAGAGACTGTGGAAAAGGGATGGAGTGACAGGACAAGGGGGAATGGCTTCTCACTGCCAGAGGGCAGAATGAGATAAGATATTGGGAAGGAATTCTACCCTGTGAGGGTGGTGAGGTGCTGCAATGGAGTTCCTGATGAAGCTGCAGCTGCCCCATCCCTGGAAGTGTCCAAGGCCAAGTTGGACGGGGCTTGGAGCAACCTGGGATAGTGGAAGGTGTCCCTGCCCATGGCTTCCATGGAAATGGAGGATCTTTAACCTTCCAACCCAACCCATTCCAGGATTCTAATGACGGTATTGCAAAACACTCCCAGGGTTGTGACAAGACCCATCCCAGCTCCATCCATCTCCTATTCTTCAAAGTGAGACATCCCTGGCAGGACCCCAGGATGATCCATTATTCCATTCACAGGGACTGCAGTGCCAATGGATTTGGGACTCCTTTTTTTTCCAGCTGAATCAGTCCTTTCACAGACTTCTTCTAATTCTATATATATTCCCTTTTTTGTTATCTCTGGGTAATACATAGAGATATCCACACACATCTATTTCCATATAGATACACAAATAATTGAATATATATACCCTGAGTATATGTATTGAAATATGAGGTCAATATATTATATAGAATAATAAATATTGATACTTTTATACATAAATCTATATATTATCACCTATATTCTCTGGGTCTTCTATATCCATCAGTTATCTCCAGATATTATTGAATGTATGCACTGAATAGATATATTGAATTATATATGTTCAATAACATCTAGATATATTCAATACATATATTTAATAATACCTAGAGATAATTCATATGAGGCCCAGATACTATTTTTATTCTTAGCACTTTATATTATTCATATATTATTGAATATATAGAAGATATATTGAATTATATATATTCACTAATATATAGGTAATACATATAATATGTAGATATTATTTTCTATATATAATACATTTCTTATTTTCCTTAAGTCTAGTAGAGAGGAGGGAAGAAGTCAGGGGTTCATCCAACATTCCCCACTCTAGTTTGTAGAGAAAAGCTGGGATGTGGCACAGCTGTAGAAGCACTTAGGGCATGGATACACAGATAAACAAATCTATAGATTTATAGATCTATATAGATACACTATATAGATATATCTACATATAAACTATATACAGACATACATATATATATGTTAAACATATTTAAATAGATATTTTATGTATTTAAATAGATATTGTATCTGTATAATTATATCTATATATTATATGTAGATGTATCTGCATATATTAAAAATATTCTGTATCTACAGATATACATTCAATATCTATTGAATTTAAGTTTACACATATGTCCTAATACATCATATTATCACAAAAACACACACATATGAGATAATACATTAAATTAAACCTTTTCTGGCTGTAAATAAAACCCAATCCATCCCAAACCCTGCACAACCCCAGGGATTATTCACATCACCTGAGCCTGACACAGTGGTTTAAGTACCAGTTTAAGATCCAGTTGGTTGAATCCCCCAAATCCTCAGGATATTAATTTTCCTGCCTTGCTGCTCTCAGCTCACCACAGTGGTCACACACCTATCTCTTCTTTACAATTCCTTAGGGATGGCCGAGCTCCGAACTTTGGGAGCCTCCAAATGCAGATGCTGTATCAGAACATCCCCACTGAGGCAGGTTGTTGGAACAGGATGATTTTAAGGTTCCTTCCAATCCATTCCACGAATCTATGATTTTTGCAAGGATTTTGGCAAATGGCAGCAGAACTCATCTCATTCCCCAAAGGGAGTGGGGCTGAACCTCCTCTAACTTAGAGTTGTTGTATTCTGGAGGGAGATAACAGACCTCAGGGTGGTCTCCAAGCAAAGCTTCTGCAGAACATCTCCTCAGACTGCCAAAGCCCAAAGGGCCACCGGACTGAAGCCATGGAATCATCACAGAATGATTCAGGTTGAAAGGGAACTTCAAAATCCCTGAGTTCAAATCCCCCTCCATGGGCAGGGCCACCTTCCAGTAGAAGAGATCACTCCAGGCCCATTCAAGCTGGCCTGGAACACTTCCAGGGATGGGGAGTCCCAACCAGGAGAGCTCAGTTTGAGCTCACTGGAGGCTTGGCCACCTCCATTTCCACCCTCTGGGTAGTGCAAATGTCCAAGCACTGATGTCCCCTTATAGTTTTATATATATAAAGTTTTAATATATTTTTAAAATATTTATTAGAATATTTATTGCATTTATTATTTATCATATTAGGCAGAATATTTATTATATTATAGAAACCTTAAGAGATGTAAAATTTAAGGGAAATTATATTTTATACAGAAAAACCACACCCACTCAGAAGAGCGGGGAGGGAACTCAACTTCCCAACCTTCACTTGCAGGAACCCTTTTTATTCCCTCTGAATCCAAGTTGTTGCTCCCAAGTGCTTGTGTGGCCCCAACACAGCCACCAGTGGGTGTGTCCCCCTCCCTCTTAGTGACATCCAAGCTGGTGGTGGCGGGAAAAAGCCACCAGCGAGGGCAAGGAGCCAAACGCCCACTCGCTTTTCATCGGCAGCGGGATCCCAGATCTCCGTGGAATTGTTAGCCTAATGGAAAGGACAGCCTTTGGAAATTAACTGTATTGACAAAAGAGGATAAAATTAATGAGATAATAGCCGGGCCAAGGACCTGAAGAATACACTGGGCCCCTCGACACGAGG